GTCAATGACATGAGACAAAGTATATGTGAACTGCTGTACAGAAAGTGAATTTGCTTTGTAAATCTTCACCCAAATCAAAATTAAAAAAAAAAATAAGGCAGTTTCATCTTGTTTCCCTTGTCCTATTGAAGCCAAGTTGAACTTTAGCTCAATTCCCCTTACTTTCTATAACCATCCCCACCCTGGCTGGAGACAGATGAGTGGGCATAACTTTTTTACTTAGTTTTTCATAAAACCAGCCAAGACCAGCTTGAAGTCCGTTAAAACCTGCTTGGATCTGTTTGGTCTGCAGACATGCATGAGGCAGATGGAATGAATTTGCTCAGAATATCTCCCCTTCTGCTTAAGGCCCAATCAGTTGAAAACATGAAGTCTGTGTCATTCATCTGTTGCACAAATACACTTCATTAAAAACTGTCCCTTTTAACCAAGGCAAATGAAACCTCAACCAATCTCCAGCTAATTCATTCCCAAATTCCTCAAATTATACTGTATGAGTATGTATACCTCAAACCCAGATTTGGGTACTGGCCCATCTCCTTACCATGTACATAGTAGTAAATTATCCTTCTCATCTCTCAAGAAATGAGAATGTGAACTGATTCGGCTTGATTGCACACAAGGCAGGGACTCACTGTAGTCTGACTTTACTGTTACTGTCCCTATATATCAATGCTTGGGTCAGGGTTGCATTCTCTCACCTTTGCTCACGCTGTTTCTCCCTTCATGCAATGCTTTCTTCCTCATCTCTGCCTTTGGGGCCTTCCCATCCTTCAAACCAAATACTAAACTCACTGCCATTAAGTTGATTCCAACTCCTACCAACCCCCATAGGGCTTCCAAGGCTGTAAATCTTTACAGAAGCAGACTGCCTCATCTTTTATCCACAGAGTGGCTAGTGGGCTCAGAACCACCAACCTTTTGGTTAGCAGCCAAATACCTCAACGACTGCACCACCAGAGCTCCTTCCCTACCCTTTAAGACCTTACTCAAATCCCTTGCCTTCACAAACACTCCCAGTATATATCCATTCTCCATTCATGCTGCACGATCCTTAATCCCAAAAGAGATTTTGAAAAACATAGCCTCCAACACCTTATTAAAGTAAAAAAATTGAACATCTTTATTGAGATATAAATTACATAAAAATATAGAATCTTAAAACTGGAATCTTCTCTATATTTTTTTATTTACTTAATACATATACACTTTCAATGCCCAGAGCACACTGAACAAAGATTTGATCCCTGCCAGAAAGCAGACACTAAACAAACACCTATAAGGTAAGGATGTGTGTGGTAGGAGAAGTCAAGTACAGAGTACTACAGAAACATTTAGCTGGAGGTCCTTAATATAGTTCAGGGAAAGCCTTCCTGTTTAAGTGAGACCCTAAGGAAGACGGGAAATTAAACCAAATGTGTGTGTGCACTCTCTGGACTGAGGTAGGGGAAGATAAGAGTGTGGAGAGGCAAACGAACCTAAGAAAATTATTTTAATAAGAAATCTGCTTTATAGTTCATGTGCCAAGAACTTTAATAACCAGTCTAATCAATGGTTAAAAATAAGAAATTCTAGTGACATCATTTCAAATATGTAAAAAGTACTGGTCATTCTTACTCAAAACTTACTGCGCCATTGAGTCCGTCCTAACTCACAGGGACCCCTCCTTGGGTTTCTGAGGTGGTATCTCTACAGAAGTAGATTACCCAGTCTTCCTTCCGAGGAGTGGCTGGTGGGTTTGAACCGCAGCCTTCTGGTTAACAATCAAATGCCTTAGGCACTGCAGTGTAGTAAATTACTTTGTGTGGCTTTTCTACTCATAAGTCTTTGTAAACTTCAAGGTGGGATTTGCTATGAGCAACTGAGGAGCTCCTGATTGCTGAAGTTGTCCACCTGGAGTATTGCTGTTGGGAGTGGCACAAAACAATGTTCTGGGAGGTGCCCATTCTCTCTCAGGTACTTAGAGTTCTGATGCTATAATTGGCTAGTTTGACCACCCTGCCGGGGCTCAAAAAGAGGCCTCCTAGAGGCAGAACTGTCTCTGACTGCTGGTGGAGGAAGACGTGCTGCCGAAAGAGACACGTGCTGCTGGGAAAGAGACTATGAGAGACTGTTGGCTGACGGACGGTGGGCTGGGAGAGAGACTGAGCGTTCTTCCTGAACTTGAGTTGTAGCCTGGTGCTTCCCTAACAAACCCCATAATCTGTGAGTTCTGTGTGGTCACTGCAGCGAATTATACAACCCAGGAGAGAGGTGGTGGGTGCTTTGGGAGGAATGGTTGGTGAAAGGGCTGGAGGGAGGCAGCATGTCTGGCCTTGCAGTAATAGGCCTTGGGTTACTGCTGGTAATCCTATCTTCGTCTTGTGGGATTAGAGGAGGTCAGAACATGTGGCCTCCTTGCTGTTTTTGTAGGTACTATGCCACCAGAGCTCCCAATCATTCTTACTAGTCAGTGACTATTAGGTTGATGAAATTAAAACAAAAACACTAAAACTCCACTTAACAAAAATGCAAGAGAAAGGAAGAAAACTGAGTAAGTCTTATACAGCCTGAAAAAGTTTCTTGTTAGGGTCTATAATTCTATACTTATCTTATCCCACATTATTAATTTAGAGACTTCACTTAGATACAATCTAAGCGTTCTACTGTTTACAGTATTGTTTTTTCTTTCCACTTACTCACTTTTTAATATAGTCTCATCCTAAATGATAATCTTCTTGACGTAACTGAGCTAAAGTGCTAATTATATATTTCTAACATACATAAAAATTCTAAATGTTCCTTTCTTTTTAGCATCATCCACATTGAGCATGCTACCCACAATTTGAATGAACTATGAATAGAGTCTAAATGAACTATGTGCCATCCATAAATAATTCTGAGAATCAATACAAGGGTCACCACATTTTTATTACCAGTACTCAGTATATAAAACAAAACAAAAACACTTCAGATCACTACTTCTGTTTTTTTCTGTTTCTTAGGTCGTCTACTTCTCTTCTGTCCTTTCTTTCTCTTTTTAATGAGAACAGCCTTTTCTCCAATAAATAAACTTTTAGAATGTCCTTCTGCATGTTTTGAAGCAAAATTAAATCCTTGCTTAGGTTTGCTGACATTCTTCAAACCTGGATTTGAATTTTGTTGTTTTAATTTTTCTTTATTAATGGAACGCATGACTCTGACTTTCCTTCCCATTAGTTCAGAATTGTTTAATCTCAGAGCAAGATAAACAGCATCTGTATTCTGAAATAAAAAGTAATAAATTAATCTTCAACACAAACTCATCTGTAAAGAAACTAATGAAATCACTACACTAATGGGATAAAAACTATTTTCAAAATTGAATATAGGAACCCTGTTTTCCACTTCCACACCTCAGAAGCCCAATTGAGTATTTTAGCAGCTGTGCCTTATGCATTAAGTCACATTTTAATCTTGTGCCCACAAAATTTTCTCCAAGAAGCTCTCAAGCTGCTTTGTCAAGTGATCAGGTAAGTAATAATCCTATGTTGTTGTTGTTGTTGTCATGTGCAGTTGAGTCGGCCCAGACTCATAGCGACCTCTCCTTGGGTTTTCGAGGCAGTATCACTACGGAAGTGGATTGTCCAACCTTCCTTCCAAGGAGTAGCTGGTGGGTTTGAACCGCCAGCTTTCTGGTTAGCAGTCAAGTGCCTTAGGCACTACACTACCAGAGCTCCCAATAATCCTATAGGTATCATTTTTTCCTCTCTGTAAAGTTAGTGCAATGTAGTAAATTACTTAGTGTGGCTTTTCTACCCATAAGTCTTTGTAAACTCCAAGGTGGGATTTTCTATGAGCAACTGAGGAACTATCCACCTGGGTTATTTCTGTTGGGCGTAGCACAATACAATGTTCTGGGAGGTTCCCACTCTCTCACACATGCTT